GGCGACCAGGTTTCTCCTGCATACGTCAGGGCAGGGATAATTGTCGAGTCGAAAAGGTGCGCACGGAGTCGGATGTTCTTGTCCTCTTCACCACATCTTCGATGCTCTCAAACGTTCCCCAAGCCGCTCGTTTCCTCCTGCTCAACTCTGGAGCTAGGTCGTTCATCATGTTGATTTCACGACCTAGATAGACGTAAATGGAGCATTCGGAGATTGTCGTTCCGTTGAGCGTGAATTGGGCATTAGAAACCCATCCGTTCCTCATAAACATTGTTTTCGTTGGATTCAGTTGAAGACCAATCTTTCCACAGGCGTTATCGAAATCGGTCAACATTCGTTCCGCATGGCTAATGTTTGGTGTTATGAGAACGATATCATCAGCAAAGCGAAGATGGTTTAATTGTCGACCGTCAATTTTCACTCCCATATCGTCCCATTCTAATGTTCGCATGACGTTTTGTAGGGTGGCAGTGAATAGTTGTGGCGAAATTGTATCGCCTTGTCGCACCTCTCTTCTTACGTCAATGGTGATATTGTTGTAGAATGGAGATTCTTTGGTCGCGAAATCTTTATAAAGCTCACAAAGGATCATTATGTACCGAGTAGGGACGCCCTGGTTATCCAGAGCCTCTATAACCGCTTCTGTTTCCACTGAATCAAAGGCTTTCTTCAGAACGATGAAAGTGAGACAGAGTGGTTGCTTGTACTCTCGTGAAACTTCAATGAGTCTTGTAATCGTGTGGATGTGGTCTATGGTACTAAATCCTTTTCGGAACCCTGCTTGTTCGCATGGCTGTCCTTCGTCCAGTGTTCTGTCAATCCTGTTTAGGATGACTCGAGTAAAGAGTTTATAGACAACGGACAGCAAGCAGATTGGGCGATAATTGCCTATGTCGTGAAGGTCTCCCTTTTTGAACAACAATACGGTCTTGCTGGTTTTCCATTGAATAGGGACCTTGCATTCTGACAGGTAGCGAGTGAAGAGCCGAGCCAGGGTGTTGATGAGAACTGGCGGCAGATTCTTCAGATGTTCTGGTCTAATCCTGTCTGGACCGGGTGTTGTTCTGTTCTTCACCGACGATATAGCATGTCGGATTTCGGAAGGGAGGAGCGGTGGAACGACATATTCGTCCTCTTTCAATTTATATGACGGTAAGAGGACATGGCTAGCGAAGAGATCCGAGTAGTATTGGTGGATGATTTTCTCCATAGCCCTTCTCGAAGCTGTAAGTGTCCCGTCAGGGTATCGGAGTGCAGTCATCTTGGTCTTATAGTTGGCGAAGCCTCGCTGGGCTTTGCGAATGCTCTTCCCAGCTTCTGCAGCTTCTGCCATAACTGCTGCTCTTCTCTCTTTAAGGTCTTCTTTTATCGCTTCTCTGCATCGTTTCGCAAGTTCGGACGTAAGGTTTCGGTTGCCTGCAGCTCGTGCGATTCCACGTTGACGTATCAGCTCGAGTGTCTGCGGAGACAAGCGTCTCTTCGTGACCTTAGGACTCTCGGCTTTTATAGCGCTAACGTGAAGATATTCAACGAGTCGATCGTATTCTTCGTCGATGTTGTCGACAACGGTATCTTCCCAAGAGCCGACTAATGATTTGAATACATCCCAGTTTATGGTAGTTCTGGGACTTCGTTGTTTGAATTTAGCGGCTTTCTCTCCTCTCCTCGAAAACCGGAACGTTGCGCGAAGGAGGCGATGGTCTGATCCCGTGTAGAACTTGGGAACAACAGCGACGTCGGTCAGGCAAAACCTTCGATTTACTATGATGTGATCTATTTCGTTATGGTACTCTCCATTGGGAGACTCCCACGTCCATCGCTAAGAAAGAGGCTTTTGAAATTGCGAGCTACCTGGATGGTTTGGGTCGTCATGATAAACTCAGATAGCCTCTCACCCTGTTCATTCCATTCTAGTCCGTGGGTCCCTATGTGACGTTCTTCAGACGTTCTTCTAGGTCCAATTTTTGCGTTAAAATCTCCGACAATGACCTTGAAGAATGTATGATCTTCTCTGAAGAATTTTTCGAGGTCCATATAGAAGCGCTTCGACTTCGTCTTCGTCATAGCTTGATGTTGGTGCGTAAGCAACGAAGATGGTCAAAGCCGGCATAGAACCACATCGTTTCAACCGTAATCGTCCGATACGGGTTGTTAGTTGTTCGAACGAATCAATGTTCACGGTCAAATTCAATTTGACGAGGACGCCAGCGCCGCCGACACCTCTGCGATCGCATGTACCAAGGAACAGTTCTTCTCCGGTGTCATAAACAGCGTGAAAAGGATGGCGCCTTCTCGTCTCAGCCAGGCCAATGATGTCGTACCTTATTCTTCTTGCTTGAATCAATAAATCTTCTATAGCGGATTCGTGAGCAAGAGTTCTTGCGTTGTAGGTACAGATCGTCATCTTAGTCCGTTTCGATCTTGGCGGCCTAGTTCGGCCCTGAGATTTTAGCAGCCTCTCCGTACTCGTCCTACCTGGCGCTGCCGTACCAGGGGCTCTTCCGGGGTCAGGGGAATGAGGCCCATATTTGTTGCGGTTTTTGGCATTTCGATACCCAACGTATAGCTTGCCATGATAAACGTGGGGGCTAGGTACTCACGAGTAGCTTGCCAGTCTCTCTCGGAGGAGCGGGAGGAGCTTATCTGTTGGAGGTGACTCCTAGTCCCCTCCCATGTACTTTCCCAGCCGCTTGATTGCAGGCTTCTGGCCGACTTGACTCGTAGAAATAGAGTTTTTGTCAAGTCGGCGCTGCAGAAGCAGGGAGCTCGTCCCCTGAATCCACCTGCGTCTCTGGGAAGCACACGGTCGCTTTTGGTTCGCATTTATTCCCCTAGCCACCACCTGGGGACGCGCCACGTGCCCTCACGACTAACCGGGCGGGATCCCTCAAAGAGGGAGGTCCTCTATATAGAAAGCTTTTAAGTGGTACATTGTAAAAAATGTATTCTCAAATTACATTCTTACAGCTAATTAATAGACATGTGCAAAAAGAGTTGGGATTTGACTTGTGATCTCAAGGGCGGCGCTTTAGTTTCAAAAAGTCGGAATTTATAGAACAAATAAGCTATGAAATGACTACAAAAGCTACATAAGACAAAAATGTTTGAGAACAGTTCGGAATAAGCTTGTTTTTGCAAGAACGATTTTTTTTTCTCACTAGAACATAGAGGAAGTCTTGACACGCAGTCAGTGCCTTCACAAACGTTTTCTTTGTAATATTTTACTTTCCTTATAACGAGAACGTGCCTTTATTATATAAACTCTACTCATAAGTATGATAACCGTCAAGTTGTTGGGCTAGGCACTTCGCGCTTAAGTAATCCTCTTTTCATTCTTACAGTGCTATACGGAATTTTTTTAGAAAGCAACCTTAGTATAACAATTTGCGAGATTCGAGCTATTAAATAATTACTTGCTGTTTGGTGAAAAGCCATTCATGGACCTCACCCCAGCAAACATAACATATCGAGTGTTAAACATGACTTAATGTTTGCTGGTTTAGCGCAGTGAGAAAGGCTCTTAAGAAATCAAGGTCAGTGCTGCAGTTGCCGAGATTTGATCTTTTGAATGATTAAGAAAAGTCTAGGAAAAATTCTTTTTTCATAAAAAAACAATTATGTCTCAGTACAGGTACACGCCATCTCGAACAGGTTGATACTGGAATATGACAGTATTTTCAAGCATAACTAATGAGTTTCACGCTGAAATAACATGGAATAAAGTGTTGAACACGGACCTGTTTAGCTGATACAGACACCGCATGCAAGTATTTTTTTCTGCAACTGGATGAAGTACTGTCTAAAAACATCTTTCATAGCATCTGCTTTACTAACTAGTCATAATCATTCACTTGTTTGTTTTTGACTATCTTGATAATTGTACGTCTAAAAAGACTAAGCGTAAATTAGAAACAGTTGTTATCAATGCTAGGTTACAAGGTCGTGCACGTTACTTTTGGGAGCGTGTGGTGCAGTGATTAGAGGTGCTTTGCGAGACACACATGATCGATGGTTCGATAGCGCACCCAAGGCCCACTAAGCCTTCTAACCTTTCGTGATCGACGGATTGGTACCAGACTTGGCTGAGAGGATAGCATCACTGACTTGACACACCGGTAGGCTAAGTACGAGTCTATGTAAAATTATATGGCATTGAGTGATCTTCAATGGATCTTGATAAAGTCGTATGCATGCACATCTTCAAGGAAAGGTTATCACTGGAAGCTGTATCCTTTATCATTTTCACGTTAACATGGATTCATCACTAATCTCTTAATGTCAGTGACCTAAAACATGGCCACATTGGCATGATTTATCTCAAATGATGGGATAGTTATAACTGAAACTATTTCTTAATTTATACCTCATCCATTTTCTATTCCCAGTATAGTCCATTTCTCATAGTGTGTCGCATAAAATCCGTGATCTCTCCCATATAAGTATTAAGAAGGTGGGATTTTTGAAATGACCAGACTGTTGAATTATTTTGTATTGGATCCTTGATGCATACGAAATATTCATGGATTAATCGTATATGGCTGATATAGTATGTCTAGGCTCTGACGAAGACTGGGTCGCCTAACCGTTAGCTATAAAATTTTGGGAAAGGAGACGTACCAGTCTAGTGAAAATTTCAGTTAAAGAGAAGGACACATGTAATAGTAGATGAGAACCCATGTGGTTCGTTTATATGCACACAAACGACGGGATTCCGATCGTTGGCTTGCTGACTCTATTGTGCATGTTTGATATTTTACTTCTACACAAAGTTAATTGGTTTTCTGTTTCCCCATTGTCCTTGTAGGGTCAATCTTTTTTTCCTATTAGAAGTACCATTTCTTATTTCAAAAGTATGGAGTTACTATTTTATAGATATCCGTCGCTACCTTTATCATCAACCTAAAAAAGTAGTACTCCGATATTCTAGCATTTATAATGCTCTTTTCGCAGTGTTATGATGTTACATATACCTAAGCGAATTGAGTGGTGAGCAAAAACTAGACCTCGGGCGGGAATTGAGCCCGTGTTCCATCCATACAGGAGACACGTGCTACTACCACTACACCACCGAGGCACATTTGCGCCACCACTCATTCTTGTATACATCTAACAGTGGCTGGCAGCTCAACTGGATTTATAAAGCGAAATTGCATACCCGAGTAAAACTGTTAGAGGTGATAGCTAACATAAAGAGCAGATTCGATTCGCGCCTGAGGCCGTGTTTTTGCTCATCACTCAATTCTCTTACGTATATATTGAAGAACTAAGGCATTGAATGTGAGTCAGGTATAAAAATAGCTTTTCAATGTAGATCTTGGAAGATACAATATTTGCTTCACTGAGACGAGTCTATTATCAACTGCTCAACGGTTATTGTAAATGAGGCTGTTAAACTTGAAAGAGTGGGTCGAGCGAGATCACATACCTTTTAGAAAGGCTGTAGGCATTTTTTCGCCGTTTCATCCTTCTCGTTCTTTGTTAACATTGGCGATACTTCAGTTATGACGAAATGAGCTAACAAAAACCGTTTCTACTAATCACATATTTATTATATTGAGATTTTATAGCTCTGAACTAGGATGCCAAATCAAATTTGCAGGAAAGCACTGAACGTTAGAGAAGTAGAAACGTATTTAGCTTCTAACATAGCTGGACAATGTTTGTCTGATCGAACTGATCGTGCAATCATCTTGAATACTACGTTAAGTCTTCAGTCCATTAGTCCAGAGAAACTCATGTGGTGCATTCTTAGATCCACACCCCTGAGTGGCGAATAGATACTTAGGGATATCCTTGATCATACTAAAATGACAGACACAAAGATAGGAAGATATTCACTTAAATCTCTGAACAACTCTTTAATTGCTGACCTCATTCATAAATGCCTTCTTTCGTCCAATTAAGAGTCCATTATGAATACTCAACTAGAAGGTGTTGTTCTCAAATTTATCGCTTTTGTTCCTTGTCTTTCAGGATCGTGTTTTGGCTTTGGTTTTTCACTGCAAGTCTTTTACTTCATTTTCCTCGAGTGACCCAAATAGTGCTATAAAAACCTCTTATACGCATGATAAGAGCTTGATAAAGGAGCAATATTTTTGTAGTGTAGTTGCTGTCTCAGTTTGTTGAAGTTCCTATGAATGACGAGTCCTTTGCTGGCCAGCACTGATACGGTTGATTCGTTTCGACGTCAAAAGCTTTTTCATAGTCGATAAAACTTCAAACTAGGAATAATTAGTATTCTTAATGGAGCACTATGAAAGTGCAGATGACTTGGATGTGGTTCACGTAACCAACTTCTTATCAAAATCCTGCTTTGTGAATTGTTATCTGTTATTTGAAGCTCTTTACACGTGATAACAGGTATTCTTCGTAAAGAACTTTCAAAGTACACTCAGCACAAAGAACTCCTATAGTACACTTCTAATGTACAAGCATACTTTAGGATGATTTCAAGAACTTTTTCGGTCACTCTTGTTGAATAGAGGACTGTGAACGACGTCCTCCATAGGTCCGGTGTTTTACGTCTACGAAAAATGATTTTATATGTTCTAAGAAAATTACGTGTAGGTTGTGCCATCTTTTCTAAGAAAGACGGCATTGATGCTATCAAATCCTGAAAAAAAGCGTCTTTTTCATGCTTTCTATCTGAACTCGAACATCAGGAGGTAGAATTCTAGGGCGGTCTTCTCCAGTGAGGATATTAGATTTAGGACGGAAATAGTGAGACGGATAAGATCGATGTGGAACTCTTCCCCATCAGTTTCAAATTATGGTAAAAGGTTTTCGTGATCCATCTTCGTTCATTGGCCCTTTGCGAACGGCGGTTGATCGATTTTTGCGAATTGTGCGCGATTTACTTTCTTTAATAACAAAATTTTCTTTTGCGGAAAAAAACCTTAGGTTTCTTGTAATACTCTGCTAAAACATGAATTCTTCTATGCGACCATATACTTTTGCGGAGATATAACTTTCAAGGAGGTAGAAAACTGCGAGTGTAAAAAGTTAACTTTTTTTACCCTTTTACACCTCGCTACGAAAACTTTCTCATAAACCAAATCTTCAGTATAGTTTCATAAAAAATGACCACAGACAGATGAGTAAACAAGGCAAACGCATGTGAAGACAATGACATTTCTGCTGCTTCAACGCATTAAGAAGTCCTTTTCGTAAGTCAGACACCTTGTTAAAGTTGCAAGATTCAAGCTTTGAATGATCCTGAAAATTATACATGAAAAGCTTTACCAAGCGAAAAGAACCTCCAAAAGTTGAGGATCAAAATAACCCTCATGGTGCGCAAAGGATTAATGATCATAGAAACACTACATCCTCAGAATTCCCATGTCAACTTGTGCGTAACGGTGTAAATCTTCCTGCAAAGCTCTTCGGCACCAAGGATTTAATGCTAACCGTATCATGTGCGTTGCATTACGATTGCACGGTGAATTCGACATAACTTTTGAGTCGTTCGTCCTTGGGTCACATCACCCCAAAGCTGCCGGTCATATTTGGACCGAATTTCGCTCAAGATGTTTTTAGATGCAACAGGCTAACCTTTTTTCGTGATCGATAAAATGATTTCTCTCCCACCTCACGGTTTAGTCCAATCATCGTGTTAACGAGGTGATGTAACTCAGCAGAGAAGATTTGTTTTTAAAGAGCGTAAATTGCGCGCATTTTGTAAAAATCGATCAACCACCTTCCACAAAAGGACAATGAACAAAGATGAATCACGAAAACTCTTTGCCATAATTTGGAACTAATGGGGGAAGAGTTTCACATCGATCTTATCCGTCTCACTATTTTCGTCCTGAATCTAATGTCCTCATTGGAGAAGACCGTCCTAGAATTCTAGCTCCTGATGCTCGAGTTAAGACAGAAAGTATAAAAAGACGCTGCTCCAGAGCTTGATAGTACCACTGCCGCCTTTCTTAGAAATGACGGCCACAACCTACACGTAGTTTTCTTAGGACATATAATACCCATTCTTCCTAATGGTAAAATGTCGGACCTACAGAGGTCGTCGCTCACAGTCCTTTATTCAACAATAGTGGCCAAAGGAGTTCTTGGAATCATCTTAAAGTATGCTTGTACCTTAGAAGTTTTTTGTACTTTGTGTACTATAAAAGTTTTTCACAAAAATTATCTTGTTTTCATGTAAAAAGCCTTGAATAGCAGATACCAATTCACAAAGCAGGATTTTAATGAGAATTTGGCTAAGTGAACCACATCTAAGTCATCTAAACTCCAAAATACCATTGGGAATAAACGGATAAAAGGATAAAGCTCTCGGCGTTGATCAATCCCTTAGGGATGCGCCATGCATTCGACTTCAATTTCTAACTTCGTTTGAGGTGATTGAATGCATATCTGGCCTTTACAATGACTCGCGGTGGCCTCCCGCTGAACCGAGTCAGTGCTGCTTTTCCTCCCAGACAAGTCTGAGACCTATCTGGTACCAATTTACCGACCCCGGAGGGATGGATGGCTTGGTGGGCCATGAGCGCGAGATCGAACCACTGACCTCGTGTGCGACGCAGGGCACCTCTAACCACTGCGCCACATGCGCTCCCTTTTTTTTTTTTGATAAGTAATATTTCATTCACAATCAACAAATAATCTGAAAAAACCTACAAATACTAAGCAATATTCAAAAAGAAATCTATACGGTAGTGGTCTAGGATCTATAGTGGGCATAAGCTCTGTTCGCTTCGCAAGTCTTATGAAGCTAATGTTTCGCTTGTATCGTAAGTCCTTCATTTTGACTAGCTGCTAATAACTCGTTGGCTAAGATGTCCTTTAGATAAAATTCTCCCAAAAAAAAACCATTGGGAATACTCTATTAGAAATACCAACTGTTCCTTGCCTAAATTTTTATGGACTATGAAAAAGCTTTTCACGTCGAAGTGAATTAACTGTATCAGTGCTAGCCAGCAGAGGACTCGTCCTTCATAAGAACTCCATCAAACTGAAACATGAACTACACCACAAAAATACCGCTCTTTATCGAGTTCCTATCAAGCGTTTAAGAGGTTTCAATAGCACTAATTGAGTCACCCGAGGAAAATAAGTAGAAAACATGCAGTGAAAGAAAAACCAAAGCCAAAACACTATCCTGAAAGACAAGGAACAAAATTACTTGTGCGAAAAAAGGCATTCATGGATGAGGTTAGCAAATAAAGAGGTGTTCACAGTTAAGTGAATAACTTCCTCATCTTTGTGTTTTTCATTTTATTATAGTCACGGGTATCTCTAAGTATCCATTCGGCGCTCAGGAGTGAGAATCTAACAATGCACTGACATGAGTTTTTTGAACTACTGAAGTGAAGACTTAACGTAGTATTCAAGATGATCGTACGATCAGTTCGGTCAGACAAACGTAGTTCAGTTATGTCAGGAGCTAGATACGTTTTTTCTTCTCTAACCTTCAGTACTTTCCTTCAAATTCGATTTGGCATCCTAGTACAGTGCTATAAAAATCTCGCTATAGTTAATATATAATTAGAAATGCGGTATTGTTAACATCCGCATCAGCTCATTTTGTCATAACTAAAGTGTCGCCAATGTTAACACAGAATGGGAAAGATGAAACGGGCCTACACTTTTTCTGAACGGTATGTGATCTCGTTCGACTCACTCCTTCAAGTTTAACAGCCTATCTCATAATAACCGTTGACTAGTTGAAATAGACTCGTTTCAATGAAGTAAAACATTGAATTTTCTAAGGTCTATATTGGAAAACTATTTCTATACGTGATTCACATCACTCAATGTTTCACTCAGTTTTTTTTAAGTTAAAGTTGAACTTGCTATAAAATAGTAGCTCCATGCTTTTTATTTTCAGCTTATTTGCTTACCACATCATGGCCGGCCTCAGTGAGAATATCGCCAATCTGTCCCATAAACTGCATATGAGAATATTCTCCAGGTGCAGAATAGACGAGGATTTTGAAGGCATTCACGGCGTGGAAAATGCAAACCAACACAAAGATAGAATTCATTTTGTTATGACGACAGTTATCTTTGCCTGCACTTCGCTTCTTAGATAAGAAAGTGGAAAAAGATTCACAGAACAAC